CATACCCTAAGAAAAACCAGTTTTGAAGATCATGTCCCCTATGTCTCTCCCTCATTCTTTGAAATTTAGCTCCTGGCTCAATGTCACTCCTTCCTACATTGTATCTGACTTAAATCTTCGTGACTTAAAAGTCATGAAAATTAATCTCCAACCCAGCCTCTCATTCCTTGATTGCTCCTCCAAGAATCATGTCTTCACTGTACCTTAACCACTTTTTTCCATGACATGCACCTAGCCTTTATTTATCATTACTGGTAACTATGCCCCTTTAACCTCTATTTTAAACATTATACAATTTTAACCACTACTTCATCCTAGCTCATTCCCTGTGATATCCCAATTCTAACAATCTTCAACCCCCACCAGGACGTACAATGTACTGATTAGTACACAATTTCATGGTCCCTCACCTCCTTTGTATCCTTATTTTCCTCACTTTCCAGTATAGAATTCCATTGCCAATCAACATAATCACTCTCTGGTAAACATCCTCATCTCCTTTACTGCAGTCTTTGTCATACCAGCCCATTAAAACTCCACTTTAGTGTAACCTAACTATATACCCACTTTTTGCTACAACCTTGCACCTTGATGTGGTTGACCTCATTTTATACTAACGTGAAGTGGGCCCTCAGAGCTACCTGACGAGTATACCATAGTTCTCAAGTTCACTCACCCCTCTTGTCTGGTAAGATGACTATTCCACAAACCTCCAACAACTTATACAATCACATTCTCACTGTACAACTTTGCTTCTTGATTCACTTAGGAAACAACATACAGAAGAGAATCTGCACAGACTATCACTTCTCTCTATTCCTTTAAATTTACTGCAGCCATTACCACACAATGTGCTGTTGTTATGTTAAAGAAATTATCCATGCTCCTATCTAAGACTAATCTCTCCACCAATGAGTAAGATCCTTTCCCTTCTCACATTCTCAGGAATATCACTCTGCAAATATTCCTCTTCTTCTGAATCATTTTTCTGTTCTCTGATGGAGAGAAGCATATAAACATGCTGTTATTTCTCCCATGCTTCAAAAACTCTCATTGCAAAGTAGACTTATTTGGCAAAGTAGATTTTAATATAAGGCAAGATAAGGAGTTAAAGAGAAGGCAGAGATAAAGAAAAAACATTTTATAATGATTAAAGAGTCAATTCATCAAGGAGACACAAGTCTAATCTGTATGCACCTAATATTAGAGCTTCAAAATACATGAAATAAATATTGACAACTGATTTATAAAATAAGTCACAGCAATGAAAGTAAGGGTATAAAGAATTTAGTCAATAATACTGCATGTTTGTATGATAACAGATGGTAACTACACTTATTGTGGTGAGATTTCATTATGTAAATAATTGTTGAATCACTATGTTGTACATCTCAAATATAGTATTATATGTCAACTATACTTCAAGTAAAAAAAAACTGACAACTGAAGAAATAGAAAAATTCACAATTACCATTGGAGAGCTCAACAGTCCTCTCTCAATTGTTCTAACTGATGGAGACAGAGATCAACAGTACTTTTTCCTTCCATGGAATAAATTCTTCTTAGTTATAGCATATATTATAATACATTTTGGCTTTAATTTGTTAATATACCAACTAGAACTTCTACACGTTTCTAAGAAAAATTTTATTTTCTTGTCTTATTATTGTCTAATTTTGGTAGTAGGCTAAACAGCCTCAAAAAATGAATTAAAGAGTTTGTTTCCTGTCAAAAAAAAAAGAGGAGATAGAAATTAGCAAAAATATAAAAGAGTTGAAGAACACTGTTAGTCCAACTGACATTTATAGACTCCTATATAAAACTGCAGAACACAAATTATTTTCCAGTGTACCCGGGACATTCCCCATAACAGACAATATATGCTGAGCTATAAAACAAGTCTCAATAAATTTAAAAGGACTGAAATAATCTTATGTTAATAGAATTAAATCAGAAATCAGTAATAAGATAGCTGGAAAAGTCCCACACATTTGGAAATTAAGCAACACTTTTCTGTGTGACCATTAAGTCAAAGAAGAAATCACAAAGGAATAGAAAAATTTGCAACTGAACAATAATAAAAACCGCATTTAAACAGAATTAGTGGGATGCAACTAAATCACTATTTAGAGGTAAATTTTAATTTTAATGCCAATATTAGAAAAGGAAAATTTTAAATCAGTTGCTTAAATATCTACCTTAAGAAGGGAAGTTTTTAAAAAGCAAATTAAGGTAAGAATAATAGAGGAAATTATAAAGACTGAAAAGGAGATTTAAAAAAGACAAGAGAGAAAGGCTGAAAAAGTTGATGATTGATAATCTCATAGACAGACCAATTAAGAAAAGGAAAGAAAACACAAATTACCAATATCCCCAAGAAGGAATTCTACAGTCCTAGGATAGATTCTACAGTCATTTAAATGGTAGTAAGAAAATGTTATGAACAACATTCTGCCAAGAAAGTTAGATTAAATGGACAAATTCCATAGAAGACAAAAATTACTAAAAGTGGTAAGAGAAGAAACAAACTCAGAATAGTACTAAATCTGTTAGACTTGTAGTTAAAAACCCTCTGACAAAGAAAACTAAAGGCACACAAAGCTTCACTGGTAAATTCTATCAAACATTAAAAAATATTACTGGTATTAAATAACACCAATCTTTTGCAGATTCTTTCAGAAAATGAACATAAAGTTCCCAACTCATTTTACTAGGGCAGCAAAGCCTTGAAACCAAAATAAAACTAGAAGATAGAAAGCACTCTATCTTGTTAAGAAAGATACAATTTTTAACAAAATATTACCAAGAAGAATCCAGTAAGGTAGAAAAATGGTAATATATTGGCATGTAAGAGTGAAATAGTACTTAAAAATCCATCAGTATAACTCACTGTATTAACAGAATTTTAAAAGTTCTGCCTAATCAAAAATATTTTTTTGAATATGAACAGGCAAGCCACAGACTGAGAGAAAAATATGCACAAAATATAGGTCCAGCACAAAGAACTCATATCCAGAACATAAAAAGAACACCTACAACATGATAATTAAGAGACAAACCAATTGAAAGATGGGCAAAATTCTGAACAGGCAATTCACAAAAGGAGATATACAAAAGGTCAATAAGCACATGAAAAAGGAACACTAAACAGCATCAGGGAAAGGCAACTTAAAACCACAATGAGATGCCACTACATGCCTTAAAATTTTAAAAACTGACACCACCAAATATTCATCAGGATGTGGAGTATCCAGATTCTAATACATTGTTGGCACAAATATTAAAGCACTTTGGAAATCAATCTGGCAAACAATTCATAATGCTAAACATGTAACTACTCTATGACCTAGCAAATCCACTTCTAGGAATTTATCCAAAATAAAATCTTATGTCCACAAAAAGACTTGTACAAGAACATTCTTAGCAGAGTTATTTATAACAGCCAAAAACTAGAAACAATTGAAAAGTCTTTTAATTGGTGAATAGTGATGTATCTAACAATGGAATAGTATTCAATAATAAAAAGGAATGAACCACTGATACTGGCAATAATGAGATATACCTCAAAAACATGCTGAATGAACTAAGCCAGTCACAGAGTATATGTGCATAATTACATTTATATAAAGTTCTAAACCTGGCAAAACTAATTTTGGTGAAGGAAATCAGAAGAGTAATCACCTTGCAGAGAGCAGGGACTGAAAGGGAAGGAGCAAAGATGTCCACTGAGAAGGCCTGCTTTCATTGTGAGAATGACACAGCAATGCAGCAGATCATGGCTTTAAAATACCACTTTCAACTAAAAGAAAACCAGGGTTCCTTGGAGAAATGGCTGATTCCAGAGCTGCAGTAAAGATAACAGATGAACATGGAACATACCGTTCCAGAAAGTAATCAAAGTATGAAGTAATCAAATAATGAAAAGGACATGTAAAAAAAGACACAGAAGCCAGCATTAATTGGGCTACCACTGGTAAAGTCAGGGACATTTATGCACTAAACTAAATGAGAGTAATAAGTTATACTTCATTAAATAAGAAATAAATAAATGAAAGAATTGGGAGTGTAAGGAAAACCTACAGGGTACAATGAGACTTGCACATCACTCCTGTGATAATTTCTACCAAAGATGCATAACCTGAAATAAACTATGAGCAAACATTAGACAAACCCAAATTGAATAACATAATACAAAATAACTGGCCTGTAATCTTCAAAGTGTCAAGGTCATGAAAGTCAAGAAAAGACTGACAACTGTTCCAGTTTGAAGGAGACAAGAGAGTCAAGGCAACATTATATAATTAACAATAAATACTATTTCTATGGAAACCAAAATGGCACTCGATAAACTATAATATGCATGTCTGAATAAAAACTGCAAAATAAAATATGCTTTAATGTGATAAGCTAGGATCATGTTTGGTGGAGAAATATTAGAATCATTCTCATTAAATTAAGAAATGGGGATGATGTTTTTAACAATGTTCTGAAAGTGTGCCAATGCAATGCAAGAAGAGAGCAAAACAAGAGGCATATATATTGAAAAGAAAGTCAATTTACTACAGTGTTCAGATGATATAATTGCATGCTGAGAAAAACAAAGAAAATCAGCTGAAACCACTCCCCCAAACAGTAAGAGAATCCAGGAAGATTAGCAGTTTTAAAATATATTAAAACAATAAAAAGACAATTAAAAAATAGGCAAAGGATCTGAACAGACACTTCCACAAAAAAGATATACAAATGGTCAATAAGCAAATGAAAACATGATCAACATCATTAGTCATCAGGGAAATGCAAACCAAAACCACAGTAAGATCATTTTATACCTACTAGGATGGCTTTAATTTAAAATAAAACCTGAATGTGTTCAATAAATGCAGAATACCATATATTCACATGTATAATTATTCTTTTGTAAATTGCTTTAAATTTAAAATTAAAGATTATATACACACACACAGTACATACATAATACCACTTAGAAATGGCATACATACCCAATTTTAGTTCAATTGCTGTATTGGTGTTACATTTGTACTCTGCCAGTTTCTTCTCCACTGCACTCTTATATTCAACCAAAAATTTCTCCATAGCACCAAATCCTAAGAGAAAATGTTTTTAAAAGGTCTGGTTGGAGGTGGTTTAAACAGGCAAACCTACAAATAGGGTTCTTATTAGAAGTGGAATAAAGGTTAAGTAACAGATCATAAAAACACAGGTCATTCTCTATATACTCCTAAATTAATGTACTGAGTATGACTACCTCATAAAACAGAAAAAATACCACTTTTGAGACAGAGGCTTATGAACTAGGCCTGTTTTACAAAAATGAGTAACCCTGAAAATTAACACGAGACTATTAACATTTCTGAATATTTAATACTAATATAAATTATCTGCTAGGACTTATATCTAAGTAGCCATTTTAAAAGAAATATAAAAAGGATGCCACTGGTCCACTAAGAAACAAAGTGATAATGTTCTCTGACAATTTCAACAGCATTTCATTTCTAATATTTGAAAAATTCTACCCAGAGTACCTCCACATCAACTATTAAAAACTGTTAACCCATCATGCATAAATTATCTCAGGAAAGATACACAATTAACTGGTAACCATGGTTACCTCAAAGATAAAAGAATGGGGACAGCATAAAGAAAGAAATTTTCACTGTATTAAGTTTTTTTTTTTACCATATTTGCAAAAAGCCATAAACTATGGGCACTAACATAATCTAATGGTTTTACTACAAGGTGACTACTCATCAAAATATATAATAAACAATTAACATGGAAGAAATCATTATCAAGAGAAACTTTCAAGCCGAGATGACAAATCTCCTGGTAACATGAAAAATTAGTAAAAATTCAGGAAAACAGCCATGAACAGAAATGAAAGAAGGGGTACAATGACATGCCACAAACTTCAGTAGCTAAAACACACAAACAGAAAATGGGGAAAACTTGAGGAAGTATAGATGAATGGTTTGGAGTTATAATTCCTGGAGTCAAATCCAGGCTTCACCATATACTTTCTAGATCTGTGAATTAGAGCACATTGTCTTGCCGGACCCTTTCTATAAAACTGAGATAACAGAACCCACTTCAAGGAATTTATGGATAACCTAAGCAACAAAATTTAACTTGTGAAACCGTACATTAGCTTAATCCCCACAATTATAGACAACCCCATATATCAGCCCCATTTCATATTCAAAAGTTCAGGCGTATTAGAGGTTTAGCTGCTTACCAGCACCAGACTACTAAGTGGTTGGGCTGAGACTTAAATTTAGGTTTAATTCTTATAATACGTACACCCTATACAATACATATACTCCCACTCTTTTATAGTCCCAGTGTACCCTCAAACCCTACAGTCTCTATCTGGTAGAGCAGCCCTTTCTTAATCATCTGTAGAGTTCATGCTATAGCCTGTCTATCCAGCACACCCACGTAAGTAGAGAGAGACTACTATGAGGGCACTGGGAAGATAAAAAAAAATAAAAACTGTCCATCACTCAAAAGATAAGTAACTGGGGAAAAACAAAAAAAGCATGTACTCACAACAAAACAATCTTAATACACGTACAAAATAATAGTTATTAGTTATTAAATGTGAACTTTAGACTCAGTAAAAAAGGAGTATAGAATGAACAAGAGAATTATAGTTACACACCTCTAAAAGAGTTTAATGAAGGAAGAACGCGAGAACCACCTTGTTTTCAAAGAAAATCTAAATAGACCCTAGGAATACTCAAGGGAGAGAGATTAAGGAGACGATTACGAAGTCAAGATTCAAGTGAGAGCCTTAGTGCAGGGCAAGGCAGCAGTACGCTAGCTCAGAAGTTGATTATAACGTAAGGTGGACCCGAAAGTGGAGGACCTGAGCGTTAAAATCGGCTGGCGGGAATGGAACCTGCCTAGTTGTTGCAAGGCAGCATTGGGCAAGAGGAAGGACAAGAAAAAACAGGCTTCAAGGCATTATCCGGCACCTTACAAGGCCAAATCACAGCGCTTTCTCCTGGCCTCTTCGGCCCTCCGCAGAGGCCGCGTTCTTCGCAGAAGGCACAGAAACCGTGCAGCTGGGGACGGGGGCAGGAATTGCGTTGCGCTGCGAGTTTCGCGCTTCCAGGGCAAAGCAGGCCTTCTGGAACCCAGGCTAGCGCCCCAAAGTTCGAGGAGGGCACTGTCACCACCGTCACGACATTCTGTCCCAAACCTGGCTGTCCCCTCCCTTTGGTAAACTTTTCCCGGGAACTTACCCGCCATTTCCGAGCTGCAAGCACCCGGGGCCGAGGAGAGGACGAATCAACCCGCGCGCTCCCCGGCCGGAAGTGAGCGCGCCGTCTGACGCATTTCCCCCGCCCACCGCTGGCGTGTCGCTCGCCAATGAGAGGAGGAGGTCCCGGGCTCCGGGGGCGAAAGCACCTCAAGAGGCGGGGCTAACCCGCCGGAATGCTCGCACCGTTGCCTGGCCACGGCAAGTGCAGTCGTCTGCTTTGCAGGCCTGAACTGGGAGAGGAGCCCGCCGAAAGGATATTCGCTGTAGAGACGCTCCCTGGCTGGAGGAGAGTTCCTTTGGGGTGCATTTGAATTATGTAGATACCTAAAGGCTGTTTCTGTTTTCCCCTTGCAATGTTTTGGAGACTGATAGAAAACTTACCCGTTGGCTTGGACAGTAGATCCAAACACCGAAGGCCTGGTTTTTCGTAGGTAAAAATGTAGGGACTGAGTTGTAGTTGCGGGAGAAATATACTATTTTGTTTCTGTTTTTGCCGAAAATACTTGTTTAACATCGTTATTTTCTCTCATGCTTTTTAACGGTATACGGTGTGATATTTAGGTACTCTTCTTTCACGCTCAAGGTTACTAGGCAACCACTGAGTGCACAACTGTTGTTACCTAACTACCCCAACTGAACTGATCTGGTACTACATGTCTCCAGTCCTAGTGGCCTGAGTCACGTCACAGGATGCTGCCTGATTTGAGCCATAGGGCTTATTAGTATTTAGTAAGTTTTGAAACGGTTTGTTCTTGAGGAAAAGCCACTATTTAGGTATCCAATTTCCACAGTGCTGTTTACGCACTGCAATGCTACGGCTCAACAAATAGATTGTATTTTGACGATGCTACAACTAAAATGGACACTTGAGATAATAGTCTAGATTATTACCCCCCATCTCCTAGTTTACGAAACTAAAGCCCAGAAAAGAGAAATTGACCATGTATACATGTATAAAGAGAAATTGACTCAGTATACAGCCAGTGAAAGAGTCCAGTTCTCCAGATACTCAGTCCAGTATTTGTTCAACTAGTGGAAATGGCTCTCCTGAAAATAATGATCAGAAAAGGTACAGAGAATGCTTTGATCCCTTTAAGTCTTAATGAAACACAAGAAATTATAATCACAATGTTAGGAAAACTGAAATCAATGCAATTAAAGACATTATGGATCAAAAAGGCAAAGAGTTTTTAAAAAATAATCTTTTCAAAATGGCAAGTCTAATCATTTCTTTCCAAAACCATCTTCTCTATAGATTGTTCAATAGCTGACCAGCAATTATGACCCTTATAACAGAAAAATTGAAGAATTTGTTTTAAATGCACCCATTCTGAAACAGATTAGTCCTGTGACTTTACAGTTAGTTGTAGGGAAGAAATAGCATGAAACCCATATGTGATAAATATGAATAAGAAATAAGATGATATGAATAAATATACACAGGGAATGGACAATTGGCTACCATGCGAGGGAGGGAGTGGGTGGGTGAAGGGGATAAAGAAGTACAGACTTCAAATTATAAAATAATTTAGTCAGGGATGGAAGGGAAAATAGCTTATAATGTAATATCTTTGTGTGGCGACAGATGGTTACTACACTTATAATGGTGAGAATTTAATAATTATAAAATTGAGGAATCACTAAATTGTTAATCTGAAACCAATATCATATATAAACTATATTTCAGTAAAAATTACCTGAAGCAAAAAAATATGAATAAGAAATATGATGAAGCCTATATGTCGTGTGACTAGCAGTTACTATGATATGTTTGTAGAATTGTGGTTAGTCTTAAATTGTCCTTAGAACTGTTCACAGATTTATTAAAATGTCACAGAATACATGTTTAGGTATAGTTTACTTAAAAGATAAAAGAATGACTTCTTTCAAAAGGGTAATAGGAAAAGTATCAAAAAGGAAAAAGCATTCTATGTAATATAAACTCTCTCTGTTAATTCAAGGTGGTATTAGTTTGATAATATTTACTCTAGAACAGGAGGTCTGGAAAAGGTATTTTTCTCCAGAAAAATAAAGCCGAATTACACTATTAGGAATGAAGTGCAAGCTGTCTGGTACAGGTTCAAGTGCATATAGGCTAATACATTTTGCCATCCTGTCTTGAAACCTCCAGAAGGGATTTTTTTTTAGTGGTACTAAAAAGAGGGTTATCAGAAAGTGGATATAGGAAATTCGAGATCTAAGAGAAAAGTGCAGGTTCTTAATGTGTCTATTTCAAAATGTATACCTCTCTACAGACAAGTAAGAATAGTTAGTTAACTCATTTGTTTTGCTTATAGTGCTATAAATGGGGAGGGTGGGGTAAGGACAGGAGTTTCAGTTCCCAGAACAATTATCCAGAATTCCCTGCCCACTTTACATGACTTTGATATGGGATAAAACAAAGAAAAAATAGATGAGTTCATATTGGAAACTATTGTTTCAAAATAACCTAAACATATATTACCAATAGTTGGCACATTACATTTTTCAACTTTCTTACACTACCTAGTACTTTTTGAGAAGCAGTTTAGCAGTTTCAAACAAATTTAACAAAATTTTCAGTTTGTGTATCTTTTAAAGTAGTAGTTCCACTTAAAAGTATTTATCCTATAAATGACTGCAGTGAGGTGGGGCTGGGGGAACATGATAATATGGGTGAATGCTGAAAACACAATGTTGTTCATGTGAAACCTTCATAAGATTGTAAATCAATGATACCTTAATTTAAATAAACAAACAAATAAATTAAAGTGTCCTATAAAACTATTTGCACAAGAATGCAAAGATATACGAACAAAGATGTTCAATGCAACATTAATGTTCCTGGAAAGTTGGAAATAGCCTAATCATTTATCAAAAGGAGATGGCTGATACATGCTGACTTGGGAAAATATTTATTAAATAATAGGTTAAGAAATAAATTACACATTGTAATGTTACTTTATTTGCCTAAAAAACTATTTTGATATAAACATAGAAAACATCTGAAAGCATACCTAACTATGGCTGCCTCTAGAAGGGGTAATTTGGAGATGGGGATCAATGAAGGATTTTTTTTTTTAATTCTGTTTGCCAAGAAATTTGAACAATGTAAAGCTAGTCTCCCTTTAAACCCTAAATTTGTGTTTTCTCCCCTGCCCTTTTTAAAATTAGATTACCTAAGGTTTTTATCTATTGTGTTATTTACTTTCTTTAAGTACTGGATCTTGAATTTATTAATTAGTTCCATAATTGTTAAAAAAATTCTGTTTGCTTCTTTTAATGAGGATGTATTGATAGCTTTCATACATAGAAATTTCCTGATCTTTTTGGAGGTGTTTAGACATGGCTGCTAATTCTTTACCCTCTTCTTTACATTCTGTAAATTATGATACACAGAATCAAAGAGAAGCAGCTAACTGAAACAAGGAAGAGTTAGTTGAAAATTATATTTCTAGTTTTGTATCCCATCATTACTTACAAGCAAAGATTGGTCAAAATTGAGGGAAGTACACTATAATTGCTTATACTTATTTATAAAATGGCTATCAAGTGATGCTTGCTTTACTTTTGACACTATAATTCATAAGAATGGCATTAATTATGTATTAGGGTGAAAACAAAATGCTAAATGATACTTTACATTCCATAGTTAAAATGCTATTTCAAGAGTTTCAAGAGTTAAATACTCTTTTATTCAATTTTAGCCAACAAAAATGACCGTTACTCTTCTGTCTTAAATTTATTTGCAGTTGTTTTATGTTTTCTTAATGTGGAAGTTTTCAGGGTAAGGAGGGTGAATAAAACTTTTTATCAAAACTACTTTGAAATAAGACCAAAAAGTTGTACAAATTATGATTAGAAATATTCATTTTAAGCTGATATATTGTTTCAGTCATTCAGACATTTTTGATTATGGTAAAAAACAACATTACATAAAATTGACCATCTTAATCATTCTTAAGTATACAGTTCAGTAGTGTTAAGTATGTTTACATTCTTGTGAAAGATGTCATTTTAATGCACTGGTTTTCAGCCAACTGTTTTGTAGCTTATTTACCCATATCACTATACACAGCAAGACCCATAACTTCCTATGACTCAGACACACAAAGTGAAGATAGCTTTTATACCAGCTGTATAATGCTGTTAAAGTGTTTAGTTCATAAACTTGTTCCTTAAAATAATTACAAAATAAAGTAAAATTTGGCTTTATAATAGTTTCTTCTAAATTATTTTACAAATCAGAATTTTGAGGATATATATAATTGTTAACAAGCTAACCCAACCAGTCACTGTGCAAATTAGTAAAATTAAAAGAATTCTTTCAGAAAATTTTGCTTGAGGAAATCCAGACGTTTAAGATTGTCATTAATCTCATCAACACAGGGCTCTCAGAGAGTCCCTTTGCCAGTCTCTTGAATGAGCTAAGAAGAAAGGGTGATGCCAACTGGCACCACCATATAATACAAAGAGAACCTGCTTCATCAGGTAAGAAGGATGTGTCGATAGGGTTAGTATGCCTTTTAAGATGTGAATAAAATGAGAGTTCCTGTGGCCAGGATTCTCACCTGGCCCTGGTTGACTAGCTCACTGCAACACCTGTGGGCAATACATGGCTGTTGACTCTATATAAAGAGTTCTGCCAAGTGCTCTGGGCGCTACATGGTGGCAGGGCTGCAAGGCTGCAGGAGAGCAGAGCAGAGGCTGGAGTGGTGGCAGCACCGAGGACAGAGGCCCAGAGGACTGCTGTGTGGGATGACTGTGCAGAGAGGCCCAGAGGACGGCTGTGCAGACAGAGGGGCCCAGAGGCAGAGACTGGTTTGCTGTATACAGACTCACTCTGAGTGAATGGGATTCTAGTGACTGAACTGCCACCTGGAAATAAAGTTGGGTATAACCCTTTCACCCCAAAGAGCATTTTGCTGTCAATTTTCTTTGGTCACATTGAATCCATAGCGAACTTGCCCAGAGCTGTACCCATCGGCAAGACATAAGAATAAAAGTGTACTTTCTAATATCTTTGTAAAATTATATTTTGTTGTATATAAGGAAGTTTATGTTCTTATAGCTATGGTGTGACTTTTT